AGACTGGGAGTGGGCGGCGGGGAGAGGGCGAATCTCTGGGACTGGATAAAAAGTAAAGTGAATAGACACATTTCTTTTACACGTGTGTAAAAGTTAATAGTCAACAGTTAACATAAACAATGAGGGGATTTGTGGTTTCCCCCTCTGGTGGTTGTGCTTTGAAGGAGTCTAGAAAAAAGGAAATACTTTGTTATTCCAAAGGCATGTTATCGGGTATATTATCCTAGATGTAAAAAACTCGAAAAACAAACAAACAGGCTCAGTTAAGGTAAAGATTGACCTCTGTTAGGGAAAAATACAGGCCTCAGACTGCTGTTAGTGAGAAAGTTAATTTCAGACCATCCTTTGTGGTTCCTTTTCATTCTGAGTTTGTAAGGCCACCATGCAGGCCTCCCCTGAGCTTGTTGGGTTCAGTATGTGGCCTGTTTTTGTCCATGCGGTGAGGGAAAACACAGACCATGGGGACCGTGGAGTATCTTAGTAAGAGGGTGTTAGAAAGAACTTATTTCAGGATCTGGGTTTTGGTTGGGTGATTTGGGGGAGCATCTAAGAAAATGGGATTCTGCCTTTGATTGGGTGCTGTCCAAAAGCAGGGTGAGTCTGTGATTGTGCATGTCGGTCTCATCTATAGGGAGGAAGACTAGCTGAAAGAAAAGCTGGCATTTGTAAAGAGGCTGCAGTTACTTGTTTTGGCTAAGAGCTGGGTGGTTGGGTATTCTGTGGTGGCACAGTGAGTTTATTTTTATCTGTGCTTAGACAAAATTATGAAGTGACCTTGTTTTGTCTCGTGTCATCATAGTCTGAGAGTTTATGTTCAATAGGAGAATTAATATAACTTAGTCTGGGTGCCAGGCCAGTTCCTAAATGTCAGGGGCTGTGTTTTTGTTTTTTTTCTTTCTGGTTAAGTAACTCTTATTTGGGCTAGTTTTCTTTCTTCAGGGAAATGGTCAGTGAATATATTCATTCATTGAACAAAACACTGAGTATCTATATCTACTACGTATCACACAGTTTACTAAACACAGGATACAATAGTAAGAATCCTGTGTTCAAGGAGCTCAGAGTCTAGCATAAGAAGAAAGAGAAAGGCTGTCTGCTTCAGTCAACCATCTTTTCTTAAATGCCGTCTTCAACTTTGTCACAAAGTGCTGCAGGCTGTGCCTGTGCACTCCAGTGACAGTCCACACCTGCCCCACTGGGCAGCGTTAGAGACTCGGTGTTAGAGTCTCTCTTCACCTTGATCTGTAATTTCCTGCCCTGTACACTGCCTGGCCTATGTCTTCCCCTTCAAACATGCACAGGTTTTCTGCACGGTCTCTGTTGCCCCTTTATGTGGTCAACATGTGGAAGGTATTAGTTACTTCAGATTCCTGTCTCAATACTGTACAGACTATTCCTTTTTTCCTCAAAAGAATGCTTTAACTCAACAGATAAAATGCTGATTCTGTGTTAATGTGTACCTTTGCTATTTAGGTCTATTTTGTTTGACTAGGTGGCAGAGACCACGTTATTGGGAGGTTTCCAAATTACAGTGAGAGCAGCAAACACTAGATGGCAGTGTCTTACTCCGGAACTTCGTAGCAAACCTGGGTGCTAAGTTCCTCTCTTAAATTTTAGTGAACTGGGTCAAAGGACGAAATTATCCAGTCTCTTTTTTGCCACCAGGTGGAATAACTCTGGTCAAATTCCCCTGGGTATGAGTTTATCGTATTTGTGATAATTGCTAGGAAAAATGGGCCCTTCCCACTGGTTTAGAATCTTGCCTGTCTGAAAGTTCCTCCTAAACAACCCTTTCACATACTATTATTTAATATTATTTTCTTTCCTTTTTCATGTGAAGTTATACTTAACCCAGGTAATGATTACTGGTTACTTTCTGAATCCATAAACACAAAGATAGTTACTCTTTGAAACTTATCTTTTCAGACATATAATAAAAATCTGTAATTCTCAAATTATGGAGACTCAAAGTTTTGCCATTCTGCTTGGCACAAATAAAATACTTAGTTTCTTACCATTGTAAAATTAATATCTTAGAACACAATACGCATATTCTGTGCTCTTTACAAAATGTTTCCCAGGCCCTGGCCAGTGCGGCTCATTCGGCTGGAGTGTGGTCCCATAACTGAAAGGTTGCAGGTTTGATTCCTGGTCGGGGCACATGCTGTGCTGCATGTTCGATGCCCAGCCTGGGTGCGTGAGGAAAGCAACCAGCTGATGTTTTCTGTCTCCCCTCCTCTCTCTCTAAAAGCAATGAAAAGATGTCCTCAGGTGAGGACTAAAAAAAATGCGTGTCAGAAAAGATGGGGCATAAATTTAGCTTAAAACTGGAATCTGTGACACATCAACACACATGTTTCTGAATGAAATACTGCTTTCAAGTCTAAGGAGCTGAACGTGGTACACTAGAAATTTTTCAAAGGTGTAATTTCATACTGCTTCTATGAAACTGCAGCGGGGTTAGATAATAATATGCCACTGTGGAGGACAGGAAGAACTGACTCCCCGAGGTTATGTTTCAGTGTCAGAGCCGGCATAGACCCAGGCCTTGTGATTTCCAGTTGGGGGATCTATCTTTCAATGAACTTTGTGGCAATGTGGCTATATTTGCCTTATCTTAGCAATGATATCCTTCATTATAAAAATATATTTATTATAAGATGTGTCATGGGATTAGCATTTTGTTTTTGAAAAGCAATGTGCTATAATGAAGTCATGGTTTTGGAGTAACGCAGCCGAAGTTACAGACCCAACTTTTGAGCTGGTTAGCCTTGGGGAAGTTACCCGGCTTTTCTGAACTGCTATTCCTTGTCTTTTAATGTTGTTATGAGAATTACCTGAGGCTGTATGAGTTGTGAAAAGCACTTAGCACAGTGTCTAACATATGCTAGTTGCTCAACACGTAGATACAGTTACTATTAATTGAATTGTTCCAAGATGAGGGAATTTCTAAGGTCACGAAAGGTCCAGATGGCCTTGGAGGTCATACTGGAATAATCGAGTGTCAGATCTCAACACTGTTCTTCACCTCTCAGGAAGCACAAGAAATGGATGCAGGCGACAAAAACCAAGGCATAGAAAGGCCAAGCAACATAAGTAAGAATAGATTTATGATTTAAATTCTTTTTCTAAAATGATCTTATTTATTTATTTTTAGAGAGAGGGGAGGGGAGGGAGAAAAAGAGGGGGAGAAATATTGTGAGAGAGAAATACAGGTCATTTGCCTCTCATTCTACTGGGAATTGAACCTGCAACCCTGGCGTGTGCTTTGACCAGGAGTTGAACTGGTGACCTTTTGGTTTGCAGGACAATGCCCAACTAACTAAGCCACACTGGCCAAAGCTATGATTTAGATTCTTTAAGCAGGGTGTGGAAAAGGGTATTATGATTTTGAATATCCCTTCCAAGCTGATGACTTTCTGTTAAGAATTTTTTGTACTTTTTTTTTCATAAAAGAATCACAACAATAGCACGTAATGTTTTGGCTATGTTTAGATTATCATGGACTGAATTTAAGTAATCTGCCATTATTCACTGTCAGGTCTTCAGAGCCAGGTCATAATCATTCTTTTCTTGTAGCTCCTAGCTCAGTGCCTCAAATATTCACGTTTATATTTGCTGAGTTTATAGTTAAGTGCATTGGCGTTAAGCTAGTTTTGGCTCTTCCACCAACTGGGCAAGTCACTTCCTCCTGGGTGTCAGCTCCACATCTCTGACGTGAGAGGGTGGCCCCTTCTAGTTCTCATTGTCTGTAGTAGTACACAGCTTTTATTCTCTCAAAGCTGCCAAAAAGTGAAAATGAGATCAATTCTGCAAAATGATTTATGTTCACAGTTCTCCCCCCTTTGAATAGACTTGGACCATAAAACGGATGATAAATAGAAAACTGAATAATAAGCAAAATGTACTAAAATAAAAAAGGATAAAATAGCAGAGATTGAGGGTATTTTTAGTGTAGTGAAAGTTCCTTTAGAGAAAGTTGACCCTCTTGCCAGACGACCTTTGAGAGTCCAATCTATGTATTTTAATTAAATTTATTGGGGTGACATTGATTAATAAGATTACATTGTTTCAAGTGTACAATCTATAATAGATCATCCATATATTAACACGAAGTTTAGTTTCCTTCCATCATCATGTAGTTGACTTACTTTACCCTCTTTAGTCTCCCCCAACCCCCTCCCCCCTGGTAACCACCATACTGTTGTCTGCATCTGTTAGGTTTTTTGTTTTGTTTTGTTTGTTCATTTGTTGCTTTTTGTTGTATATTCTACATGTGAATGAAGTCATATGGGTCTTATTCTCTTCCAGCTGACTTGCTTCGTTTAGCATGATATTTAAGATCCATCCATGTTACTGTAAATGGCAGTATTTCATCTTTTCTTATGGCTGAGTAATATTTGATTATATATGTATGCACCATATCTTCTTTATCCAGCCATCCACTGAGGGACACAGGTTGTGTTTATGTCTTGGCCACCATGAATGATACTGCATTGAGTGTAAGAATATATTTCTTTACAAGTAAAGGTTTTCAAATTTTTTGAGTAGATACCCAGAAAAGGGATTGCTTGATCATAAGGTAGCTCTATTCCTAATTTTTCAAATAATCTCCAGATTGTTTTCCATAGTGGCTTCCCCATTTACATTCCCATCAGCAGTGTACAGCAGTTCCTTTTTCCCACATCCTTGCCAACACTTGTTATTTTTTTGTTTCTTGATAATAATCATTCTAACAAATGTGAGGTGGTATCTTATTGTGGTTGGTATTCTCATTTCCTAAATGAAAAAAAAAAGAACCACTAGTTTGTGTAATATGTGGTTTCACTTATTAGCTAATAATAACCAAATAAAATTTAAAATTAGACATTTTAAGTTATTGCTTTAGTCTTAAACATTTATCAACCACCCTCTGTGTGCCAGGTGAAAGCCATTCATCTATCAGGCCCTTTACTAGGACTGACTTCAAAGAAAAATAATGTATGGTTCTTGTCTTCCAGGAGCTCTTGGCCTAGTGAGAAGATGTGAATTCATGTGTTATGGGAGTTACAAGGGATCATACATACCTGGAGAGTAGGATAAGCTTAACCTAAGGGTAAGGGAATGTTCTGTGCAAACCTTGAATGAAAATACTAGATGACAAAAGTAAGAAAGGACAGTCCAAGCCATACAGAGATGAGCATGGGCAAATGTGTAGAGTCGGGAAAGGGGTCTGGATATCTGAGAACTAGCAAGCAACTGTGGCAGCACTGTGTGGTTGTGTGGGGAAAGCAGGGAGTGGGAGATACACAGAAGAATTAGAGGAGTTTTAATTAAAATTGGATCTGCCCTTTGACCTAGTGATTCCACTTCTGGGAATATACCCGAAAAAAACCCAAAACACTAATTTGAAAGAACATAAACACCCCTCTGTTCATTGCAGTATTATTTATCACCAAGCTAGGGAAACAACCCACGTGTCCATCAGTAGATTAGTGGTTAAACAACTATAGGACATTTGCACAATGGAATACTACTCGGCAATAAAAAAGCAAATTTAACCCTTTGAGATGGCATGGATGGACTGGGGAACATTTTGCTAACTGAAATAAGCCAGTCATAGAAAGACAAATACCATATGATTTCACTCACATGTGGAATCTAATGAACAAACTGAACTAAAGCAAAATAGAGACAGACTCTTGGAGAGCAGGATGATAGATGGGGGAGGGGTGGTGAGGGACTGAAGGTGTTGAGAAAAAAGAAAAAGGGACTCATGGATGTAAACAACAGTGGTGATGTAGGGTTGGAAGAGATATAAGGAGGATAAATGGCAATGGAAAAAATACAATAAAAAAGAATTAGAGGAGATAAGGCTGTAATAGGTCAGGCCATGTTGGGAAGGGATTTGTATTTAAGTTAAGGTCTTTGGAGTTTGTTTGGGGAACTGACCAAAGCTTTTAAGAAGCTGAGGCACAGTCTGCAAGACTCGATAAGTAGAGATGTCATTAATAGAGATTAAGTAGAAGGAAGGACCCAAACACCCTAAAATTTATTTATGAAAAAAATTGTGCATTTATTCTCACATGTTTAAACTTCAGTCACCTGCAAAGTACTCTTAATTTGATGCACTACATACCTATCAAGATGTGTTTTCCACTGCTCAAATCAGTTTTTGAACTCATTGATTTTGATGCCTTTTAGTGCCTCTGCCATTTTTTGTTTTACCTCTTCTACATTGGCAAACTTCCACATTGGCACCCATCATGAAATGGGCAAAGACAAGGAAGAGTCTTCAAAAAAAATTCACTAAAGCTGAGCACAGCCTTTCACAACAAGGCCAGCTGACACACTGATACAGATGGGTTTCTAAAACACTCACTAGCAGAAGAAGCCTGTATGTACAAGGGACCATCCAGGAGATAATTCCAGGGTTTTTTGCCCTCCTGCCTGATATATGAAAAACAGAACATTGCTGGACAGTGCAGTGCTCAGTAATGTTTTATTTACCTGGCACTGCTCCCATTTGCTAGGAACAGCAGACATACCTGTTCTCCCTTGTCCCAATTTGCATACAGAACATAATGAGAACAACCTTTGTTTTTGTTAACATGACCCCATCTCCTTAGCTACAATAATTGTTTTAGGGCTGGTCACTAGATACAGGTTGGTTTAGTCATAATATCTTATTTTCTCTACCCTGTCCAGAGTGCTTGGTCAACACAGGGGTATGTGACCCAGTCTTAGGCCTCCAATTAATCTGAATTTTGAATAGGCACTAAGGGAACTGGGCTTTTCTTCTCAAGTGCTGAATCCGCAAAGTTGGAAGTGTAGAGGTGCTGTTGGTTATGTCTCATGTGTGGAAGAAGCTGGTCTTCAATAGAGAAAAACTGAAACTAGCACATGGAAAGGAGGAGATACGAGAAACATAAGGAAAGTGAGTTCTGGTGGCCTTTCAGTCCTTGGTCTCAGGCATCCTGAAGCTAATTTAATCCCTGCTTGTCCTATGGTTTGGTGGACATGAACCAATAAATTACCCTTTTTGCCTAAGGTAGTTACTGTTGCGTTTCTGATACTTGCAAACAAGAGTCCCGACTACTCCGACTACTCCACTACGAGGCAGGAAGATAATTGTGATCTTGATACATTACAGTTTAAAAGATTTTTCTGTTGATGATAATGGAGTGCAGGCAATAGGTCAGGACTAGAGAGAGAGATTTGATAGGCATGTTTAGAGAAGAGGTGGTTAAAGCTGTGGAAGGGGGTAAGCTTGCCTAAAGTAAGCATAGAAAGCGACTAAACACTGAGGATGGAACCTTGAAGAATGCTAACATCTAAGAGGGTAAAGGAGGAGGAAATATCTGTTTCCCACCCAGGCCATTTTTGAGCTTACCCAGCTGTTCCAATGCTATGGTCCTCAGTGGGGAGAAAGCAATCTGTTCAAATCTATGAAGGGAGCACTAACTTTCATTTTCTTTTTCTTATTTTAACTACTCTGGGCCACATCTTCTGAAATCCGCCTCTTAGAGCTTTTGGCCATGGGAATAATTCTAATTATTCTTTCCCAAAATACTCTTTTGTACATTTGAAATCTGATCTCATAACCTTAGATGTCTCCTCTTCAGAGTTAAGCTCTCACTTCTTTCAGCTTGAATTGGCACTCATCTGATAATTATCAGATTTTCTGAAATTCTTCTAAATGGCTGTGTTGCAAAGGGTGCAGGATGGTACTTGGAATGGGACATGTTATTTCAGATGCAATGTTCCCAGTTTAGAGTAGAGCAGAACAAATACCTCTCTGTTCTGAACACCATCCTGGTTGCACTCCGGAAATTTGGCACTTGTGAATAACCAAATCATCCTAGGTCTTTTTTTCCCTAGAAATTTATGGGAAACCAGACAAAGTCTATAATAATGATTAATGTTGAACTTAAAGGCCTTTACATTTGTCTCTGTTAAATTATTTTTATATGAAAGGATGATTATTGTAACATTATATTAAAATAAATTGGGACCAATAAACTTGGTCAAAATAGAAAAAGTTAAATATAGTGCATACAAAAGGTGGAGTATCATGTGTTTGTCAAAGTGATCTTCCTGACACGTGTGTAATGACATGGGAAAATACTTATGGCATGTGTTAAGGAAAATGCTGGGTTTAAACCATACATAATAAGAAATTGTTAAAAGTCTCTGTTAGCAAAGGAACTGGGACTCAGTGGGAGAGTGGGGGGAGTGTCCTTCTTCAATTTATAATTCACTTTTCTAACTTCACAAAATTATTTTTATCCTCATTATATTGCCCAACATTTTTGTCATTCAGAAATTTATTTGTCACATGGGAGATAAAAATGTCCTGTTGGGAAACGACAGAGGGCTGTAGTTAATTACCCAGGAATGCACTGAATTTTTTAGTCATAGTAACCCTACCTGGATATATGATTTAATCACTACTTTGACACATTCTTAGAAAATACATTCAGACTGAAAGGCATCTAAAAGATTGTTTCATTCATTTTTCCATCTCTAGCGAGACTTGGGGTTCTACCTTTAAAGGAAGAGCCCGGTAGCCCAGGATCCCCATTGGTTGCCTGGAAATCAAAACCGAATTCATTTTGTGGCTCAGTGTATGATTTTGACCAGTAGACATAATGACGTCTTGCTTCCCTGTCTGCAAAATGGGATTTGCTTTATATGAAGGTCCTCGTGTTTATGTAGTCTCCAGAGACAAGATGTAACTCAAATCAGGAACTTTGGATTCAGCTGCAGCAGAGAGATAGTTGGTTAGAACCAAGGTATGTTCATCTTAAAGAAACTCAGGTAGAAGCTGAGGATCACTGACAGCACAACATGGAAAGTAAGAGAAATACATCAAAAAAGGAGAAGATGGAAATTCTGACACAGAAATGATGATCTGAGTTCCAGCCAAGATGGAGGCATGGGTAGAAATTCTTCGCTTCCTTGCACAACCAGAAGGAGGATAACAACCAATATAAAAATAATAAACAACCAGAAGTGCCAGAAAATCAAACTGTATGGAACTCCAACAAGCAATGAGTTAAAGAAAGATTCACCCAGAGTGGTAGGAGGGGCAGAGCCAGGTGGAGAGGTCTGGTGGCAAGGCTGAGGACCATGCAGGTGAGGCAGGGGCTGACTGAGAGGACTCACAACAAGGCAGCAGACTGCATGGGCAAGGCAGAGCTGGCTGAGTGGGACACTAAGGATTCAAAGCTAGCTGTAAACTACTGCAGGGGTTTCCATGGTGGGAGAAACTCCCAGTCTGTTATGAGAGAGTTCATTGGAAAGTGGGGCTAGAGCAGAGCCAGTGAGTGGCATTGGTCCCCCTTGGGCCCCTCCCCCACAGACAGTGCCACAATGCAGCAAAGAGGGTTGCCCCCCCTCAGTGAATATCTAAGGCCCCACCCCATTACAACATAACAGGTGTGCCAAGACAAAAAATATGGTCCAAATGAAAGATCAAAACTCCAGAAAAACAGGTGACAAGGAGATAGCCAACCTATCTGATGCAGAGTTCAAAACACTGGTAATCAGGATGCTCACAGTACTGATTGAGCTGGGTCGCAAAATGAAGGAACAAATGAAGGCTACCCAAAGTGAAATAAAGCAAAATATATGGGGAACCAACAGTGAAGAGGAAGAAACTGGGACTCAACGATTTGGAACAAAAGGAAGAAATAAACACCAACCAGAATAGAATGAAGACACGAGAATTCAGAAAAATGAAGAGAGGCTTAGGAATTTCTGGGACAACTTCAAATGTACCAATATCCAAATCATAGGGGTGCCAAAGGGAGAAGAACAAGATCAAGAAGTCGAGCAATAGCCATCACCTCTGCTCCTTCCCACTTCTGGGGCCTGCGCCTGTCTCACTGCTCACTCCTTCGCTGGTTTATCTGCACACACGAATGTGTGACCACAGTCAGCCTGCTGCCTTGCGCCTTCACTGGGTCTGCCTGTTGCTACCCCACACCAGGGATTCACCCTTGGCTGCCTGGGTCAGGGAATCTTTTTTCGCTTGTCCCGCTCCGCTACTGGCTCCGCCCCTCTTACTGGCCTGGCTGAGTGGTTCATTGTTGTTGGACTCCCGTATTGTTCAATTTTCTGCTCCAACATCCAAATTATAGGGGTACCAGAAGGGGAAGAGGAACAGCCACAAGTGGAAACCTTATTTGAACAAATAATAAAGGAGAACTTCCCCAATCTGGCAAAGGAAATAGACTTCAGGAAATCCAGGAAGCTCAGAGAGTCCCAAAGAAGATGGACCCAAGGAGGAACACACAAAGGCACATCATAATTACATTAGCCAAGATTAAAAATGAAGGAGAGAATCCTAGAAGCAGCAAGAGCTAAGGGGACAGTCACCTACAAAGGAGTTCCCATCTGACTATCAGCTGATTTCTCAAAAGAGACCTTACAGGCAAGAAGGGGCTGGAAAGAAGTATTCCAAGTCATGAAATCCAAAGACCTACAACCTAGATTGCTCTAGCCAGCAAAAATTTCATTTGGAAAGGAAGGGCATATAAAGTGCTTCTCAGATAAGATCAAGTGCAAGGAGTTCATTATCACCAAGCCATTATTATATGAAATGTTAAAGGGACTTATCTAAGAAAAAGGAGATAAAAATATGAACAGTGAAAGGACAGCAAACTCACAGTTATTAACAACCACGCCTAAAACAAAAGCAAACTAAGAAGACAGCTAATCGGGAGTGAACCATAGAAATGAAGATCACATGAAGGGTTAGCAACAGGGGAGTGGGAGAAGGAGAAGGGGGGAGAAGGTACAGAAAATAAGTAGCATAGACCGTAGATAGAAAATAGGGGGGAGGGTAAGAATAGTAGGAAAAATGTAGAATCTAAAGAACTTGAGACACGAGGTCATAAACTAAAGGGGGGGTGGGGGAGGGGGTGTGCAGGGTGGAGGGGAATGAAGGGGGGGAATAGAACAACTGTAATGGCATAATCAATAAAATATATTTTTTAAAAAAAGACCACAAAGTCAAAAACTTATTTGAATAAATAATGAAGGAAAACTTTCCCAATGTGGCAAAGGAAATAGACTTCCAGGAAGCCCAGAGAGTCCTAAAGAAATTGGATTCAAAGAGGAATGTATCAAGGTACGTCATCATTATGTTATTCAGGATTAAAGAGAGAATCTTAAAAGTAGCTAGAGGAGAAGAGAGAATCACCTACAAAGGAGTTCCCATAAGGCTGTCTGCTGATTTCTCAAAAGAAACCTTACAGGCAAGAGGGGCTGGAAAGAAGTATTTGAAGTCATGAAAGGCAAGGACCTACATCCAAGGTTGTTCTCCAGCAAAGATCTCATTTAGAATGGAAGGGCAGATAAAGTGCATCCCAGATAAGGTCATGTTAAAGGAGTTCATCATTACCAGGGCCCTTATTATATGAAATGTTAAAGGGACTTACTAAGAAAAAGATGATCAAAAACTATAAACAGTAAAATGACAACAAACTCACAACTATCAACAAAGGAACCTAAAAAAAATGTAAACAAAAACTAAGCGAACAACTAGAAGAGGAACAGAATCACAGAAATGGAGATCATGTGGAGGGTTATCAGTGGGGAGGGAGAGAGGAGAATGGAGAAGGAAGGTACAGGGAAGAAAAGCATAATTGGTAGGCATAAAATAAACAGGGAGAGGTTAAGAATAGTATAGGAAACGGAAGTCCAACAATTTATATGTATAATCCATGGACATGGACTAAGGAGGGGGAATGCTGGGGAGCTGGGAGGTACAGGGAAGAGGGGAGATAAAGGGGGGAAATTGTGAAAACTGTAATAGTATAATCAATAAAATATACTTAAAAAATCACAATGCATGTTTATTAGTGTCTTTCATTTTGATTATAGGAAAAGGCGATATATTTGCATACCACATAAATACTGTGTATGCTTAACAAAAGCCCTATTTTCTTTCATAGAGTTCTTGAAGGACAGAAGAGACTCATCTATCTAAACACCAGTAGACAGAGAAATTATTAATGAGCTAACTTATAAGTACCTCTTAAATCTGGTGTTTATAAAATACTTGAACTACTGGGAGATAATAACAAAATGCAAGGAACTTAATAGTTAGTGTAAGGGAGGAAAAAAAATTCTACCACCTGAGTTATTGGCTGAGACTCCTGTAATGAAAGACAAATTAACAAGAGGGGAAAAATAGAAGCTTATTAACATGTATACCTTATATATACATGAGAGAGAGCCAGGCAAAAATGATTAACTCCCCAATGTGGTTTAGGATTCAGACTTAAATACCATCTTAATAAGGAAAGGTGCTGGTGGGTGGGATAGGGTAGAAGAAGTGTATGCCTCTTATGAGACAGCCAGTGATTTTTAGGGAGGATGAATGAGTTCTTAGAAGAATAGATGGGCAGTAAGGTAGTTTGCGACAAACTGTGTGTGGTGGTGACTTCTAGTCTACTCTCCTGTGTTAAGAATCAAGCCTCCCTGGCTAATGAAACTCCTAAGGAGGGGATTTATAATAACTGATTTTCTTTTGGATGCTCTGCCCTCCAAAAGAACAAAGTGGGGGTGGGATGCTGGAGGCAGATAAAGGGTGTTCAGAGAAAATCTCTCCCTGCATTGACTGTTTTCAAGTGCCTACAGCTCAAAACAATCAAAATACCAAAGCTACATACTTTTGGGTGGTGTGCCCTGAACTTCTACAGTCACATTCTGCAGTGGCATGTTCTACCACCCTTCACTTCTATGGGCATACCTAGGAGATGTTGCCGGTTTGGTTCCAGACCACTGTAAGAAAGCAAATATCATGGTAAAGTGAGTCACATGAATTTCTGGGTTTCCCAGTACTTAAAAAAGTTAAGTTTATTTACACTATACTGTAACCAAAGACACTGAAATAGAGAACAGGCTGACAGTGACCAGAGGGGAGAAGGGAGGGAATTTCAGGGAAAAAGGGGATTTAA